TTCCATATATCTTCCAAGTGGTTACCTTACCTTATATCTTCCCAGTGGTTACCTTTCCATATATCTTCCAAGCGGTTACCTTTCCTTATATCTTCCAAGCGGTTACCTTTTCTTATATCTTCCCAGTGGTTACCTTTCCATCTATCTTCCCAGCGGTTACCTTTCCATCTATCTTCCCAGCGGTTACCTTTCCATTTATCTTCACAGCGGTTACCTTTCCATCTATCATCCAAGCGGTTACCTTTCCATCTTTCTTCCCTGCGGTTACCTTTCCATCTATCTTCCCAGGGGTTACCTTTCCATCTATCTTCCCAGCGGTTACCTTCCCAGCTATCTTCCTAGCTGTTACCTTTCCATTTATCCTCCAAGCAGTTACCTTTCCATCTATCTTCCAAGCAGTTACCTTTCCATTTATCCTCCAAGCAGTTACCAAGTTCCCCAGTATAGTCCTTCTCTTGACATGCCAGAGAACCACCGATTTGCGCCAGGTAGGTAGGTTTACCCCACCAGTACATCACAAATGTGATAAACACCTTAGTGCCACCATACGGATGAGGATCACCCGTGGAGAGGTCCCAGAAACCCTCTTTCAGCTTCTAGGTCATATATTTGGCTAGGCCATATTTATGGCCCGACTATAACCAGGGCCCCCGGCGAAAGCCAGGGTGGGGCTTCAAAACAACAAAAAATTGCATCCCACGAGGGGACGACTCGTTTAAACATAATTTGCGCTAGACAGAATACCAAATGCACTATTTCAGACATTATTTATATTCAGGGCTGCTGACAAATTAGCATGTAAGCGCTCCAACAATTCAGAAGATGCTGCTTTATTTCGCAGTCGTTGGTCATTTCTGACCTGACTTCGAGACCTGACCTATAGAGACTTCAAGGAACTGACCTATGGAGACTGAGGACCTGGCCTACGGAGTCTTCGAGGATCTGGCCAATCAAGAATTTAAGGACCTGACCTCTGGAAACTAAAGACCTGACCTATGGAGACTTCAAGACCTGACCTATGGAGACTTCAAGAACCTGACCTATGGAGACTTCAAGAACCTGACCTATGGAGACTTCAAGAACCTGACCTATGGAGACTTCAAGAACCTGACCTATGGAGACTTCAAGAACCTGACCTATGGAGACTTCAAGAACCTGACCTATGGAGACTTCAAGGACCTGACCTATGGAGACTTCAAGAACCTGACCTATGGAGACTTCAAGGACCTGACCTATGGAGACTTCGAGGACCTGATCTATGGAGACTTCGAGGACCTGACCTATGGAGACTTCAAGGACCTGACCTATGGAGACTTCAAGGACCTGATCTATAGAGACTTCAAGGACCTGATCTATAGAGACTTCAAGAACCTGACATATGGAGACTTCAAGAACCTGACATATGGAGACTTCAAGAACCTGACCTATGGAGACTTCAAGGTCATGACCTATTGAGACTTCAAGGACCTGACCTATGGAGACTTCAAGGTCATGACCTATTGAGACTTCAAGGACCTAACCTAGGGAGACTTCAAGGTCATGAACTATTGAGACTTCAAGAACCTGACCTATGGAGACTTCAAGGTCATGACCTATGGAGACTTCGAGGACCTGACCTATGGAGACTTTAAGGATCTGACCTATGGAGACTTCGAGGACCTGACCTATGGTGTCTTCGAGGATCTGAGGACCTGAACTAACTTGCGAAACATAAGAAAATCCGAGAGCATTTATAATTGCATTTGCATTACTATTACTGACTGACCATGAAAGCATTGAGTTGCCACCTTACTCCTTGCCATCAGTCCCCTCCTCCCCCATCCCCCACCCCATTTAACAATTTCTAGGCAAAAGGGTTCATAAAGGTGGTAATGTTAGTTTAAGAGCAGCATAATAATAATAATAACAACAAAAATTTTATTATAATAATGGGATGAATAGTAAATATTTAAAAAAATAAAGTTACACACAATGCATAAACAAATGCTTTACAAGAGAATTTCTATACATGGACAAGAGGGGTCGGTTAGTCTTTTACAAAATGTTAGGTACACCCTGTGCACAGTAAGAAGTAGTGGGACGGGTAGGTTTGGACTCAAATGGCCTAAACCTTTCAGGTTCCGGCGCCATTGTTTATATTATTGCGGTGTGGAGAACACAGCGCCCCAGAGTGGTTATCCATGCTTGACTACTGACAGACAGGGGCCAGGGAGTGACGTGGCATGACTGACTGCCTGGCTGCTGTACATTTGTCGCTAACTCAGGCAACAGCTTGCCCGGGTAGGTCAGGGTGCTCGGTTACACTGGTTCATATTTTAATAGTCGCTACGGCTGGGACGGGGAGAATTAGGCGGTCATGCTCATTGCAACTAGAGTGCGTTTCAGAAGTCGCGCTTTCAAACACACATCTGCCCGTCTCTCTAGCGTAGTTGGCTAAACCGGATTGCGCGGTGAGCGGGTGACGAACTCCTTGTGGTCCGGGTTCAGTCCCGGGGTTGGGCAGAAAAGCCACATTTCTCCCAGATTTACGGTATTTAAAATGGAATCAAGGCCGAAAGGTTGCGATATTCATAATACCGAGCTTAAGGGTTAACAACTCATGGCTTCTGGATACTAAAACAAACAAACAAACAAACACATATCTCGAAAACCCTGGTTGGATCAGGGGGAATTTTCGCATGTGGCCTTAGATTTCTAACTTCCTTATGGTTTTAAAATTTAGAATTGCGCAGATACTGCTGTTTCATTAAAAAGCAGAATTACATTGATCTGTGGTTGACTAATAATTTGTGTAACCCTAATAATATAAAGGGGGTCACTGTGGCGGATCAGCTGGACGTTTGCGGCGGATCGGAAGGTTGTGGGTTCGCTCCCTGGCGGAGCCTGACTTTGTTTTTTTTTTTTCAAAAATGACCTGGGCTCCTAGGTCGACCCAGCCTTGAGTGGGTCCCGGGTGCAGTCCTGGGGAGTAGATGCGGCCGGCGTGATGCTGACCACATCACCCATCTTGTGCCGATTGGTTTATAAAAATTTAGGTCTAGCCCTCTATGCCCTATACGTCTAAAGGCGAAGAAAAGGGTCCTTTATTCTACTTACTAAAAATTAAATACAGTAATTTACCCACGTGTGGAGATTATTTGGAAATCAGCTGCCATGTGCACGGATGCCCAGTGATTATTTTAACAGTCTGTCCGACAAACACTGAAGAAATGTTTTCATGTAACTCGGGGGTAGGCTAATGCTGGACATGACAACATGAGAGAGAAAAACATATCAAAGGCCTGAAATCTGATGTTTCGAACGGTTCCTGTTAGTCAGTTACTTGTGTGCATGGTGACTGTTTGCTTTTGCTCTAGATGATTGTCTTTTTCGGCATATACAGCAAATACGGCACAGTGATAACTAAATGTGTGTTTACATTTTGTATCTTTAATTTCTTACAAGGACATTAATATTAACAGGTTCTATGCCAGAGCTGCAGATTTTTAAAGTTGGTCACGACTTCTGCAACGGATTACAGATTGACTCGTGCACACTAGCCTGGTTGCACAACATGGAAATTGACATTACTGTTAGCCAGGCATTGGAACATGAGAAGTTGGTTGTGCAACTGGTGAGATAAACATTTTCGGGTTTCAGTCAGGTTGGATTCGAACTGAGTTTCTGGAACTGGTAGGTGATTGTGTTGTTTGCGAGAGAGAGAGAGAGAGAGAGAGAGAGAGAGAGAGAGAGAGAGAGAGAGAGAGAGAGAGAGAGAAGAGAGAGAGAGAGAGAGAGAGAGAGAGAGAGAGAGAGAAAGAGAGAGAGTGGGATCTTCGATTTCGGCTGCACATTTTTCTCTGCTCTGCTATTGTTGTTGCTGTTGTTACTGTTGCACGTCCTTTTGTTTGTTATTCTTCTTCTTTTTCTTTTTCTTCTTCTTCTTCTTCTCCTTCTTCTTCTTCTTCTTCTTCTTCTTCTTCTTCTTCTTCTTCTTCTTCTTCTTCTTCTTCTTCTTCTTCTTCTTCTTTCTTTTTTTTTTTTTTTCTTCTTCGGCTTTTTTATTTGTCTTCACATTCCTCTCCCTCTTCCTCCTTGCCAGCTTTTTATCGTTTTTATTTTTATATAAATGGTAGCTTAGAAACGTTGCCTAAGTTTTGCTGCGCATTTTTTTAAATTCTGAAAGCAAAATTTGAGGATATCTCTCAACGTGGATTAGTGATCTCAAATACTGTAATCGTTCTACGTGTTTACTTAAGTATGCCACTTATATAAGGTTAGTTGCGCATCCTTTACAGGACGTTGGAGAACCAACCCCAGTAGCTTCTGGTTGTTGTGGGGTATCTCTAGGCAAAGTGACGTCCAGTAGTTTGCCATTGCTTTTTGGACGGTCGGCTCCCTGATAGCACTGTCGAAATGAACACAAGGCGCATGGCCAGCAGTTGGGATCGAACAAGGCACCTCGGCATTACGCAGCGTTCGCATCGACTTAGCCACAGAGCCGACTATGCCACATATATAGGCCCTAATTAAGGGTAGCTAGCGTTCTGGGGATACTGTCTCTGCGGTATGCCGGTGTCTTGGGGAACGTACAGGCAGACAGACTAGCTGGTTCTGGACCATTTTGTGGTGAATAGACGTATGATGAGCTAGATATTGTGAGGGCGCCTTGGGAGCTAGTTAACAGTGCAGATGCACACACAAATCATTACGGTCTGAGGAGAATGGCGCTGCACGGAGTTACCAAGGATCAAGCTGACGCTCAACACTCAAGGAAAAGGTCAGACGGATACATAATCAGACTGTTACTGGTACCATCCGAATTGGAACTCTTCGCAAGCTATTGAAGATGGGAACGGTCATATTATGGGAGTGCCCCGAGTGCTGTGATCTCGATTCTTTATTCAACATTTCACATTTATATATACATGTATATATGTCACTTGCAATTTCGTTTTCAGACATAACCATCGTTACTACTTTAAAGCACTGGTGTGTTGAAAGTTTGAGACTCCTAAACAATGATCCCATTAGCTGTAGTGGTCGCTGTTTTGTTTGTGTTGTTGTGGAGATACATCAGCAAATACCTCGGCTACAGAGCTTTGTTCAATAGTCTGACTGGAGAGCCTTCGTTCAGCTACTTGTTAGGAAGCCTCCACAAGGTTGGTATGAGAGAGTGGGTTTGGACTGGGTATCATGAGAATACTAGACTTACATCATCATCATCATCATCAGTAACCTGTTGTGGCATTATGTGTCACACATGAGTCTCGGTCTTTTTTCCCCATTCTGTTCAATCCTTTCCTTATCATGAGCGGAATTATGTCCATAACCTTTGGCCTTTCTCTTCAACGTTAGTTTTGTGTTTCTTTTGAAAGAATCGCTTTTTCAGTCCCCTTTTTTTTCATTTTATGTTCATCTTATTACTCAGGTATTTGCTTTCGGGTGCATCTAAATCTTCAGTGGATCTCCAACTTCCACTTGCATTTGTTAAAACTGAAATAACTTTAGAATTGAAAATGTATAACTTGGTTCTAAAGCTTTACAATTTAGGGTCCCATGTTTTGTTCAGGCCTTTGAAAGTTGTTTCACTCTAGCAGTACATGCCACATAATAACTCTACAGTGGGTGAATTCTTTAAAAAAAAATATATAAATACAGTCATAAAAATATACCTTGTTCTTCTTCCTCGTATTATCCTCCTTCGTCACATCCTCCTCCTCATCTATTAATTTTTAGTTATTTTGAAACCCACCCTGGTTTTTGCCAGGAATCCTGAATACAGCGGGGCCTTAAATTTAGCCTAAGACCTGAACAGGGAGTCACCGTGGCCGAGCGGCTAGTCGCTCGCCGCGGATTGGAAGGTCGGGAGTTCGCTCCCTGGCGGAACCGACCTTTTTCAAAAATGACCTTGGCTCCCTGGTCGACCCAGCCTTGAGTGGGTACCGGATGCAGTCCCGGAAAAGTAAAGGCGGCAAGCGTGATGCTGACCACATCACCCATCTTGTGGTCCATAAAAATATAGGTCTAGCCCTATATGCCCTATATGCCCTATACGCCTAAAGGCGTGGAAAGGGTTTTTTACTATTTTACTTAAGACCAGAACAGTGTTTACGGATCCTCTCCATGGGTGATCCTCATCAGCATGCTGTGATGTCCCAGTAGGGTACTACTTACATTACCTATAATATCCTCCTCCTCTTTATTATTATCTTCATTTTCACAAAGAAGAATAGTGAAAATATCAGTTTCAAATTAACTGTTTTGTCTACAGTACCCTGGGCCCAACGAAGAAGGAATTGAATACGATTTCGCCATGTCGAAGAAGTTCAAGTACATGCATAATATGTGGATGGGCCCACTGAAGCCGCTACTTATGTTGTACCACCCCGACTCCATACGTCCGGTCTTGAAATCTTCAGGTAAATGAGAAATCCTACATAATTTAGAGCGTATTTATTTGTGAGTGTGTGAGTGATGTGTGAACAAACAACTTTATTTTCAAATGGTAAGAAGTATTCAGGCCCATCAACCGTTCTGTACTTCAATCTCCCAGGTTTCTTATATAATGTTATTCATACATCTGTTAACAGGTAACAATCAAGCAACAGTAGAGTTGGCCGTTTCCACGAATCAGACATACAGGGCATACAATCATCATTGGCATTATCAATGTCCCTGTCTGCCGTTCAGTGTCATGCGCAGAAATAGTTGGTGATCCATTACTTGATGGGCAGCAATAACTACTTACATTCCGTGTCGACGAAGAAGCGCTCTTGTGTTATCACAATTCGGCATATAGTGCTAGACCATATTATGTAAACCGATCGTCACTCGGTGGGCGATGTAGTCAGCATCACACCGGCCACCTTTACTTCCCATGACTTTAACTGGTACCCACTCAAGCCTGGTTCCACCTGGGAGCCAAGGTCATTTTCGAGAAAACAAAATCCAGCTCTGCTCGAATTCAAACCCACTACCTTTAGATCTTTAGTCGAGAGACTAGCTGTTACAACGCGGTGGCTCCCTTTTCGCTTTCATAGATATGTTACAAAAGTACAAGAAAACAGTAACAACAGATAAATAAGAAATACAAGCACTGGGAAGTGCTTAAAGTACATTTACATTTATAAACACAGTAAGCCATAGTAACTGTATCTTATAAAGTAAAGGTTTCTTTTTCATGCCTTTTGGCTATAGGGCATATAGGGCTAGACCTATTTTTATAGACCAATCTGCACAAGATGGGTGATGTGGTCAGCATCACGCCGGCCGCCTTTATTTCACAGGAAATATTAACTCAAGGCTATGTCAACCTGAGAGTCAAGGTCATTTTTGAAAGAGTCTGACTCCGCCGGGGAGCGAACCCAAGACCTTCCGATCAGCACGCGGGCATCTAGCCACCACGTTGTATACTATCTCCTTGCAGCTTTATTGGTCTGCGGCGTCCATGGCTTGGTTGTTGCGAGTCCGACTCTTAATTCCAACGTACCGCGATCGAAACCCATGTTGGCTGCGTGGATTTTTATCATGGTACGGGTTCGAGTAAGCCTAATGTGGGTACCAGGATGGATGTCCTGGGGAAGTAAAGACGGCAGGCGTACATTGTTGACTACATTACCCACCCAGTGCCGATTGGTCTGTAAAAATATGGGTGCGAACGTACAGCGAAATGCTGAGGTGCCAGGTTGGATCCCCACTGCAGGCGAATTGTCAAAAGACCGCCTTGTGTTGGTTTCAAGAGCCGACTGTTCAATAAATATTGACAAAATAGTGCCTAGAAAAACCGAACCAGCCAAAATTTCACTTTCCTGTTCCTTTACAACAAACAAACAAAAATCAAAATCTCTACCATGTTTAACCTGCTGCTAGCTTGCCGAAGCTGCTAACAGTCTCCGGTTATATTTATGGTTTGGTTTATTTACGCCCCTTTCGTGACTAAAGCTGTGGTATTTGTGCCGTCTCTGGGCTTAGTCCTTTCTCCTCAAAGTCAGACCGCTCGATCCTTTTCTGTGTCCGGGCGAGCTACTCCGGCCCTTTCCTTCTTGCTGTTTCCACTTCTTACCTTGCTCCTTCTATTTTGGCCAGGCGTATTTCGTAGGACAGCGAGCTTTCCACGTCCACATAGTCTCCTTTGGACCATCATTAATAGCTTTACAATTTTAAACATTTCACTTTGCCACAAAATGCTGGGGTCGGTTCTGCAACGTCCTGTGGTTAGTTGCGTATCCCTTACAGGACGTTGCAGAACCAACCCCAACAGCCTCCGGCTGTTGTGTGGTTTTTCTAGGCAAATTTAAGTCCAATAGTTTGTCATTTCACCTAGACGGTCGGCTTTCTTTATACCACTGTCGAAACCAACGCAAGGTGTATGTATGGCCCGCAGCTGTGATCGAACCCGGCATCCCGGCATTACGAAGCGTTCGCATCGACTTAGCCACAGAGCCGACATTCAGTTAGAGATAATCTATCTCTTACCATTAATGATAATTACTAACCGGATACAGTTAATGTGGATGATATAAAACATATCTTTCAGAAAGCAAAAGACACTATTGTTTCGCATTATATACCCAGTACGCCTAACAGCGTGGGAAATTGTCCCTTAAAGCAAAGTGTCATTTTTAGGAGACAGAATTAAAGGAAGACAACGCGGGAAGGCTCTAGACAGCTTTTTGTCGTGGTATGGAGTGGTGTCAGTATATGAACTGACACCTGCTATAAGTTAGTTGCTTACCCTTTACAGGACGTTGCAGAACCAACCCCAGGATTTTGTTGTTGTTGTTGTTGTTGGCTGTTGTCGTTTTTCTATGCAACGTCCCATAAATGAAAGAAAAACTAACTACCTAAAAATTGGAATATATTAACTGTATCTGTTGTCAGAGAGTCGGCGTGGTGGAGCAGCAAGACGCTCGCCTACCGATCGGAAGTGTTGGGGGTCCTGACAGAACCATACTTTTTTCTTAAAAAATGACCTTTGCTTTCAGGTCGACCCAGCCTTGAGTGGATACACAGAACACGCCTATAGAAGTAAAGGCGACCAGTGTGGTGCTGACTACCTCACCTACCAAGCGCCTGGAAACTGGAAAAAGAAAACAAAAATGTCAAACTTAGTCCTCTTTCAGCCGCCCGAAGGCCTGCTTTATTGAGGACGGTTTCTTTGCTATCTGATTCTCGTTTGTTTTTTACGGCGTTCATTTTCGCCTGTTTGATTTCTTTCTGTATTGGCTTTAATTGGAAGTGGATGTTTTACTAGTCCTGAGAAGGACTGGTAGAATATGCCTGGGGCGGCCTCGATCGGGTATGAGCAAGCGCCGATTGGTCTTTACATTATATGTCTAACCCTATACGCCCAGTAGGCGTGAATAAGGATCCTTTACGTTGACTTCACTGCATCTGTTTACAAATATGTTGTATGATTTAATTCTCAGCTCCGAAGCCACGAGGGGGATTACTTTCCACGGCATACGACATGGGCTCCCGGTGGCTCGGTGAAGGACTGCTCAACTCCAACGGGCCGCGCTGGGTCCGCAACCGGCGACTTCTGACGCCTGCCTTCCATTTTGACATCTTGAAATCTTACATCGACGTTTACAACGAGTGCTCCAATATTCTTGTGGTTAGTTGGGTTTGAGAGGGGGGGGGGGGTGCGTGGTCTCGGGGCACGGTGTCCGCCTTAGTGCTATGGGTTCTGGGTTCAATCCACAGTAAGGGTTGGGGGCTTTTTCACGTGGACTTGGACTTCTAGTAATTCCCCCTGGTCTCTGGGTAGTGAGATCGGACGCCCTTGTGCACTGTTGTGTTGGAAATCGAAAACATAGCCTAGCGGCGCTGCCTGGGCGAAATTCGAAGTTAAAAATCTACCTAAAGTACTTCAGGATCCTCGCCGGTGCTACAGAGCCTGTGCACTGTGCAGAGCTTTTTCAGACTCAGGCTTGATCGAACTCAGTTCCCCCTCTCAAGAGCCTGACGTTGTAACCGTTTAGCCAGCTGCTGAATAGTCATCATCATCAATTTCCATTTGTGAAAAGAATTGGCGATCCATTGCTAAATATCCTTTCAAATGTAGTATTATATTGATTTGCCATTCAGCCTATGATTGTTTTAAAATATAATAGTATTAAGCACTTACAGAAGGCGTGGGCTATCATAAAATATGTAAGAGGACTAAGGCCACCCAACCCGGTATGTTTTCTTTGTTTCGACGCTAATAGCACATAATATAGCTTTCTGTATATCGCTCGAAAATGTATTGGCAGAAAACAGCAGCTATAAGAATCAACAACTGTTTAGGTACATTTCAAAGCATAAAGAGGGGCGTACGACAAGGATGTGTACTGTCACCTGATTTGTTTTCAATATACAGTGAATATTTAATGAGAGCTTTAATTGATATGCCCGGAATCGTGGTTGGTGGGCACAATATAAACAATTTACGTTATGCTGATGACACAGTCTTGATAGCAACAAGTCAGAACGAACTGCAGGAAATGATAGACACTGTGGTGTTAGAAAGTGGAAGAATGGGCCTCAATTTAAATAATGGGAAGACAGAAGTAATGGTGGTATCAAAGGAAAGAATTATTCCTAAGTGTGTAATAAAAGTTGATGGTGTTATTTTAAGACAAGTACAGAAATTTAAGTATCTGGGCACATGGATAACATCAGATGGAAGATGCATAACTGAGATAAGAAACAGAATAGGACAGGCAAAAACTGCATTTTATAAAATGAAAAACATCTTGTGCAATATATCCTTGTCATTGACAGTTAGAAAAAGAATTCTTGCCTGCTACATACATCCAGTTTTAACATATGGCTGGGAATCCTGGACAATCGGTAGGCAGGCCAAACAATTTCTAGAGGCCTCAGGAATGTGGTTTTACAGAAGAATGCTTAGAATACCTTGGACAGTCAAAAAGAGCAACCAAGAGGTTTTGAAAGAGGCGGGAGCCCGAAGACAACTTATCACAGACATCCGAAGGAGACAGTCATCATTTGTCGGCCATGTTGTGCGAAGAGGGAAAATAGAACATGTTGTGACCACTGGAAAGATCTGTAGAAAGAGAGATAGAGGAAGACAACGAGAGAAGATGCTTGACAGTCTTGTTGCATGGCATGGAGGTGTCTCGGCACACAAACTGATACATGCTGCAGGAGATCGCAGATTATGTAGAGGCATGATCGCCCACGCCAGTCGGCAAGGCACCTGATGATGATGATGATGATGATGGTGTATATCGCTCGGCCTACCCTAGACAAAAACATGGCAAGGTTGTAAGAGAAGCTCAAAAACTTCGGTCAACCACCGCGTATGTTAATCACGTCTGCCGCACAGCTATCTGCAAGACGTCATCAATGACCCAAATGTCAACCACACACAAAATGGCAATTTAGGGCGATTCGGTCTGTGAATCCTGACACGTTCTTCACAGTCTAATTGGCGTGGTATGTATCGGAATGTCCTGGTACATACACAGCCTAATCCGACAGCTGTCTGTCTGCCTGCCTGCCTGCCTGCCTGCCTACCTGTCTGTCTGTCTGTCGGTCGGTCGGTCGGTCGGTCGGTCGGTCGGTCAGTCGGTCGGTCGGTCGGTCAGTCGGTCGCTCTATCTATCTATCTATCTATCTATCTATCTATCTATCTATCTATCTATCTATCTATCTATCTATTTATCTATCTATCTATTTATCTATCTATCTATTTATCTATCTATCTATCTATCTATCTATCTATCTATCTATCTATCTATCTATCTATCTATCTATCTATCTATCTATCTATCTATCTATCTATCTATCTATCTATCTATCTATCTATCTATCTATCTATCTATCTATCTATCTATCTATCTATCTATCTATCTATCTATCTATCTATCTATCTATCTATCTATCTATCTATCTATCTATCTATCTATCTATCTATCTATCTATCTATCTATCTATCTATCTATCTATCTATCTATCTATCTATCTATCTATCTATCTATCTATCTATCTATCTATCTATTCATCCATCCATCCATCCATCCATCTATCCATTAATCAATATATCTATTCATCCATTTATCAATATATCTATCCATCCATCCATCAATATATCCATCCATCCATCTATCCATCCATCAATATATGTATCCATACATCCATCAATATATCTATTCATCCATCCACTTACCTTTCAACATTCCGTCCAATAAAGTCCTGCCTTTTAATTCCCCCCTCCCCCACCCCTTTTCATCATGTTATGTCCCTAATTATTTCCACAAATCTTTTCCTTTGTATAATCATTCTAGAGCCAAATAAAGAAGTTGAGTTCCGGAGGTCAGTCCTTTGACCTGTTTGAGCCTGTCGGATTGTGTGCCCTTGATGTAATTCAAAGATGTGCCTTCTCTTACCATTCTGACTGCCAGACCAAAGGGTAGGACTTTTTCTTCTTCTTTCTCTTTCTCTTCCTCCTCCTCTTCTTCTTCTTCTTCTATTTTTTCATTCTTCTTCTTCTTCTTCTCCTTCTCCTTCTTCTTCTTCTTCTTCTTCTTCTTCCTCTTCTTCTTCTTCTTCTTCTTCTTCTTCTTCTTCTTCTTCTTCTTCTTCTTCTTCTTCTTCTTCTTCTTCTTCTTCTTCTTCTCTTCTTCTTCTTCTTCTTCTTCTTCTTCTTCTTCTTCTTCTTCTTCTTCTTCTTCTTCTTCTTCTTCTTCTTCTTCTTCTTCTTCTTCTTCTTCTTCTTCTTCTTCTTCTTCTTCTTCTTCTTCTTCTTCTTCTTCTTCTTCTTCTTCTTCTTCTTCTTCTTCTCTTCTTCTTCTTCTTCTTCTTC